CAATCCTTGCAACCCGTGGTGGAAGGCTTCACACGGGCTGTCTCTGGTAGTGTCCACTGCTCAAGAGTTGTTAAATGGGCTGGAGAGATGGCTCAGCAGCTAAGAGCACTGACTGATGTTACAGAGGACCTGGGTTCGAATCCCAGCACCCAACATGGTGTCTAGCAACCATCAGTAACTACAGTTCTAGGAATCTGATGCCCCACTCTGGCCTTCACAGAAGCCAGACATGCATGAGCTATACTTACATGCAGGTAATATGTTTATACATGCCTGGATTGTATGGCCTGCATGTAAGTGTACCCACGTCATGCAATGCCTGCGGAGGTTAGAAGAGGACCTCGGATCCCCTGGAACTGCAGTTATGGACAGTTGTTAGACACCATGTGGGTGTTGGGAATTGAGCCCAGTTCCCTGCAAGAGTAGCCAGTGTACTTAACTGCTGCATTATCTCTCCAGCCCCTAAAATAAAAATCTTTAAAAATTTTTTAAATTATTTTTATTCTTTTTATGTGTATGAGTGTATTACCTGCATGTATGTGAGTGCATCCGGGTCGTGCAATGCCACAGAGGTCAGAAGAGGGCTTTGGATTCCCCGGGAACTGGAGTTAAGGACAGTTTGTAGCTGCCATGTGGGCGCTGGGAATCAAACCGGGGTCCTCTGCAAGAGCAGTCAGTGCTCTTAACTGCTGAGCCATCTCTCCAGTCCCCTAAAATAAAATCTTTTTAAAAAGTTATAAATAATATCTATAATTAACAAGGATTTCAGTGCTAATGGAGAGAGTTAAAATGTGGATCAAGTTTTGAAACTGAGCAATTTGTTTGCCCCCAACTTCATTGGAGACCAAAACCCTGCCCAGTGAGGGGCTTAGCAGGGGCTCTACATTACAGAAAAAAGAATTATCCATTTACCCATTATTTGCCGGAAATTAAATGGAAAAGCTAGTATGAGAGTTGTACGTTAAAACATCTCAAAGAGGGGCTAGAGAGATGGTTCAGTGGTTAAGAACACTGGTTATTCTTGCAGAAGACTCAGGTTCGAATCCCAGCACACACATGGCAGCGAACAACTGTCCTAATTCCAGTCCCAGGGGATCCAACAGTCTCTTCTGTCCTCCACACGCATTGCACGGCACGGGTGCACTTACCTACATGCAGGCAATACACGCATACACATTAAAAAAAAAAAATCTCGAAGAACCAAGTGTGGATACTGGGTTTGGAGGGCCAGGTCTTAGCAATCAAGGCAGCAGGCTCCAGGCGGGGCAGTAGGACTCAGCGGCTCTGTGGAGTCCTTGTAAGTCCGCGCCTTTCCTTGCAAAGGAAAACTGAAGTTGTAATCAGTGAAAGGAGCCAACAAATTAATATTAAATCACTAATGAAAACTGGTGGAGAACTTCTATAAGCATGTCAGCATGGTGTCTGTTTAATAGCATAACATTTGTTTTAAAATTAATTTTAGCTAAAATATGAGGAATAATAATTTTGCTCTTTTGTGCACAGCTTTAAAAACTTGCTTGGAAAGTTCACAATGCTGAGGATCCAGTCCAGGGCCTGTGAATGCTAGGTAAGCACTCTACCATGGAGTTACAGCCTCAGTCCTGGAGAGTGTATTGTTTATTATTTATCTATTTACTTGTTTTTTTGTTTTTTTTTTTTTTTTTTTTTTTTTAACAGGGTCTCCCTGTAGCCCCAGCTGTCCTGAACTCACTATGTAGACCAGGCTGGCCTTGAACTCAGATTTGCCTGCCTCTGCTTCCCAAGTACTGGGATTAAATGTGTGTGTCACCACGCCCTGTGCTCTGGAGATACTTTCTAAATGGGGCAATTCATATTAAAAATAGACTGAACTAGAGCTGCGCATAATGTTCAAAGAATGTATAATCCTAGAGAGAAGGTGTCTTGGTTATTTCTTCATTGCTGTGACAAAATACTCTGACCAATACCAACTTGGGGAAGAAAGGGTTTGTCTTACATCTCCCAGGTCGCAGTTCATCAGGGAGTCCAAGGTAGGAACTCAGGGCAGGAACCTGGAGGCAGGCACTGGAGCACAGGCCATGGAGGAACGCTGCTTACTGGCTTGCTCTCTTGGCCCCTGCTCAGCCTGCTTTCTTATGCAACACAGGCCCACCTGCCCAGGGGTGGCACCACCCACAGTGGGCTGGGCCCTCCCACATCACTCATCAAGAAGATGCCCCTCAGACATGGCCACAGGCCAGTCCAATAGAGGCAATTCCCC